TTTCTCCTTTATGCTAAATTTTAAATATCTACCCTGTTGTTTTCTATATATTCAGTAAATTGCTTCTCTCACAACTATGTTATTTTCTATATTGTGTATCCAACAAAGCTAACTCATCAACTCCTTAAGAGATGGGCACTTGGATGTACACTTGTCTAATATAACAAAAATAATAAAATAAATAATTTAGAACTTGTTGGATTCCTATTTTTGCTCATTTTTTGAATTGGGTTTTCTTTTACTTATTGATTTGCAGTTCCTTGAAATATCTATTCATGCTATAAATTTTATACATTCTAAAAGTTATTCCAATCTGCCATCATCTTATGATTAGAAATCTTTCATTTTTAATATAGTCATCATTTTCTTAGGCTAGTTCCTTAAAAATTATTATTGGGTCATGTTTTAGAAGTACAATTCCTTACCTACATCTTAGACTAACTCTCTTACATTTTCTTCTATTAGCTTTGTACTTTTCCTTTTTCATCCACTTCTAATCTATCTGGAGTCTAACTTTTTACCTGGTGCAATGCAGGCATTTATTTTTTCTTATGTAATAAGCCATGTTCTAATATTCTGCTGAAAAGTTTTTCCTGGCTTCATGTTAGTGACACATCTTCATAACATAGCACCTACTTTTTATATAAAATGAAGAATGTTCCTGGGAGAATGATGACCAGAACAACAAAAGTAAAAAGAAATATTCATGCTGGGGAGGATAATAGTGAAAATACTGAGTATGAAGTCAGCTTTCTGAAACTACATGCAAATAGGAAACGTTAAACACTACTAAACAAAAAAAGAGCCAGTCATGGTGGCACCTACCTATAATCTAACACTCAAGAAACTGAGATAAGAGGGTCATGAGTTAAGTTCAGCCGGGGCTACATAGTAAGACACTATCTCAAAAAAACAAGACAAAAAAATCTAGTGATTCCAAATGGATTTTTGGAATAAGTATAAAGAAAGAAGTAGTCTTATTAGGTCAAGTGCCCCAGATATCAAGTAAATTTCTGCAAGGCCTTCAATTTAGTGGAATAATAATATGTTTCCATATAATGTTACATGAATCAAATATTTGTCATGTCATAATTATATTATATCACATCCAAACTACACTCCTGCAATAGCTGTTTAGGATGTTAGTGGACCTGTTATCCACAAGTTTTCAATTTTCCAAAAGCTTCCTGAAATGCATAGAATGATTTAAAGGACTTGATATGATACAGCATTTAACTGGTAAATTTTTTGTAAGCAAGAAAAAATCTGAGCAAAATAGGTCTGATTTATGGCCTAATTCAGTATTCTATCTACATAGAAAATCGTCAAAAAATGTCCTTGACTACCTGGCTGAGAGCCCACACATTTACTGAGTTGGAATTTACATGCAGAGGGAAATCTTCTTTCATTAAGTCATGATCTGTTTTTTTGCCTTTTGTCTGGAGGGAAAAACATCAGCGTCTTTAAGGACTGTTACATTGTGTACAAATTAACTATTCAATTTTCCATGGAGTCCTTTTCAGGAAACACACAGCACCATAGACTATGGACTTGAATGTTTCTTCTTTACCCTTGGTTTGAGCTGAAAATTATTTTGGAATCTTGTTATTCTGTTATATTTCCAAAGATGCCAAACAACAATAGAAAATAAAATCAACCAAGCCCGTATTGCCCTTAGAATTTCGTAGTGTATGGTGATATGAGCTGCATCCTAAAGGTCTCCTGTTATGCAGCACCAATTCTCAGACGTCCCATTTTTCAATGCTCATGGATATACTTGAATTTAAGAACAAAACATCAAACTTGATCCATATAACAACATTCTCTTGTTATACACAGAGATTCCTTGAGAGTGTTCCCATCAGACTTGTTGGTAGTTAATCTACAAGTGTCTGAGAAGAGTTCATAGTCTTTGTTTTTGATCTTGATGAAAAGTTTGCAATAATACACCATTACAGAACAAAAAGGACTGTGGCTTATGTTTCATAATTTACATAGTTGATATGCTGTATTGTCAAAATTCATGTTCCATTATATTTCAGAAAGTTTTAAGTAATGTTCTGCTTTGGAACAAAAGGACATTATTGGCACATCACAATGAAACAAGTAGGTCTTTTTCTACCAGGAAGGAAATTTACCATGTGAATTAAGCTCCTGTGCCTCCTCCCACTCCTTTGGTTCTCCACAACACACAAACTCCTCTAGAGAGAGTGTAGGAGAGTTTCAAATAATGACTTGTAAGACTGAACTGTGGTAAAATCACAACTACACACCAATTTTGGAAAGAGATACAAAGAATGCACAAGTGGTGATACGTATGGGTGGCACGTGACACACACAGCATATAAAATATGACTGAACACGAATCTTGACAATGTAGCGTATTGGATTTGTAGATTGTAAAATGTAAGACACCATTCTTTTTATTATGTAGTTGTGAGTTGTGACAAGCTTGTCACCAAGATGAAGACAAAAAGTATAAACTCTGTCTTGCACTTGTAGATTAACCATAACTAAAGCTGACACTGTGATACTCTCAAGAAATATCCAAGTGTCTGTTTGATCAATGACTTTGGATAATACAAATCTAGATAGAGTTATGATAAAGTTTTCAAACATGCTCTTAGGATGACAAGAAGAATGTTAATCAAGAAATAAACTTCAGTGTGTGCATATGGAAAGGTCTACAATTTTCTCTGCAAAATTTCCACAAACATTGTTTCTACTGAACTGTTAATTGGGACATGGGTATCACTATGTAACTTGATCTCAAATTATTTTGAGTATTTCTGAAATTTATGTCAGTGACACTGGAGATTCTGTTTTGAATTCTAGAGAAAATTCCCTAAGTTAAAATAGCATATTATACAGAAAAAAAACTTAAGCTCCAAATGTCCTAATCACATATAATTTTCATTGAAATAATATATAAATGCTCACATTGTCTATTTAATGCTATATTTCATATATTCTATTACTTTTACTCATAAACAATATATTTCTAAAATCATCAAAAAGAAAGTTTTTTCTACCTGCCATAGAACATTTTGGGAGAGACATGTAGTAACATATAATAACTATAAAATACTAAAGAGTTCTGATCTATTTTTAATAATCCATTGATGTACTGTGATTGAAACATTACCAGTACTTCCAACAGATTATTTTAAACTAATTAAATCTATTAGGAGTAATAGGAATAAGTCACCACACTTACCACAAAAATAAAGATCATAAATGAATTAGACTTTATGTAACAAGCATTTTCCTTTTGGAAAATATTTTTATAGGAACTTCTAATCAATTTATAAAGCTAATAGCTTTTATTTGCTATAAAAGAACAAATGAAAATAAAAACTCAAAATAACATTACAAATGTCAACTACAAAGTAAAGATCATTTTGATTATTATTAAAATGAGTATTTTACCCCACAGTGTTCATAAAAGCAAGCATTTGGTAAAATAATAATCTGGCTTGGGTAGGAATTCAAAATTTATATTTACAATTATTTGGCACATAGATCTGGTCTACTACACTCTATGATTATTTCTGTATGTCAGCGTATTCAGTAGAGGCATTGATGACATGTAAATAGGTACCATCATAATATAAGGAAGTGGTGTAAAAGGCTAATATCTCCTTAAGTTTGATAGTGATGCTTAAATTATTAGCTTTATTTCTCAGGCAGGCATATGTCTTTCCTGGTGCAAATTAAGTCTTGGGGTGTTTTCATCCATAAGCCTTCCTAGTGCAATTGGGTGGATCTGAATTATTCCCATTCACTGATGTGGGATCAAAGTGCCACCCCTGCACATGGTAGCTCCTCCTTGTATGGCAGGTTTTAGGGCAAAAATCATGATCTCCTTTCAAATATTCTCATTTTGATGGATCAGAATTAAGGGAACAACTTTCACCCCATTCTATTCCCTCTTCTTAGAATCTTCATTTGTTAAAAACTTAACTCATTTTCCTGTTTTAATTCCAAAATCACCTCTTGTTTAGAATTGGTACACTGAAATAGATTACACAGAAACAGATTTAATTATTCCTGCATATGAATATTCCTATGGCACTTTATTATAACTGTAGCTATCATCATTTTAACACTTGTTGCACCATATTTGTTAACAATAATCTATTTTCTCCTGCCAGAAACAGTCATCTTTATATTACTCTCACAGAGCCTGGTACAGGACCTGGCATGAAATAATTGTTCAGTAATTAAAATAAATTGAATGAGTGACCCCACAGAAAAGACAGCAGGTGAGCCATCCTGGATATTGTAACTATTTATGCTCTCAAAGTAGATCCTGTCAGTAGAAGAGGAAAAGACCAAAGCTTGAAGCAGGAAGGTAGTATATAATGATAATAAGTGACTAAAAATAAAGATGAAAGAGGAAATGAAAGGGTCAATATCCAACTAACATATCAGCGCAGATTATATTATAAGTGAATTTAATCAGAAGCAGGGACACTGCCATACAGGGAGAAGAATTTCACTGCTGAATGGCCAAGGATTTACTGTTTACCTATGCAAATTTCTTGTATGTACTCTTTTAAGACAGAGAGAAAAGTGGGAAGGGTATTATTAATAAAGAGAAGTCTGAGAGAAAAAAACCCAATAAACATGGATGATTCAGCCATTCTCTTCAGAAAAGATTTGCAGGACACCATGCCTTTCATTAGTCTGCTGGGTGTGGAAATGGCTGCTATAAATATTAACAAGGGAAAGTCACTGAGTCCCTACCTCACACCAAAGCTATTACCAAGAGTTTTCACAAATTATCCCATTTTGATAACTTATCATGATCCCCATTTTACAGGGAAGGAAATGAAGATTGGAAAGACTGAATGACTGATGGAGGCTGCTAAGGTCATGGAGGAGCTTTGGTCAAACCAAGCTTTGGAGTGCTTCTACAGTATTGTATAACCACCTCCTTTACCTATTACTCACCTACTTATTGTATTCTATTGAAATGATTTTCACTTTAAGAAACTTTAAGCTACTTGACATTTGCTAAATTGTAGTTTGAGGATTCCTTTCACATGAAGCTGGAGGATTTGGTTATATTCCTTGGGCATCTGGTGGAAACCACGTTTAGGTAGCGTGTTGTCGTAGTAGTGATGGCTGATGGGTGTGTCTTCTATAGTTTTAGAGAAGGGCCAGAATCCATACAGCTTCACATTTTCACACAGTTCCACTGCAACACTTGTGATCATCAAGCCAGTGGACAGGCGGTAGGCAGTCACACCTTTAGTTCTCCAGAAAAGGGCAAGGTGTTTCAGGTACTTGGGATGGAAAAAGAGAACCTTTTGCCTTGCTTGAGACTGTTTGAGTGTGTAGTACACTTTGAAAGAGGTGCCAGTGTTGGCCCGGAAGGAAAACGCTGGCAGAAGGAGGAATGCATCTCCATAAGTGGCAATGTCCTCCAGAAACGTTGCTTTCTTCTCCTTTAAGTTCCCATATCTGCCAAATTTCAGGAAATCAAAATAATCATATAATAATAATCAAAGTAAATGTTTTAGAAACAAGAATCTGAGTTTGTCTGGTCAAATTAATTTTTTATATTCCCATACATAAAAGGGACAAATCCTGGGCTGAGAGAAAATTCAGTTAAGCAGACATGTAATTATCAAGAGTCTGATCTTGGTATAGATAGACTTTTGATTTTTACTTCTGTATTGGGCTACATTCTTACTGGTTTCTTGTATTGTTTTATATTCCAACTCAGCAATATTTTCTAACACTCCTCTTTTATATTTAATGCCTTCCAAATTTATATATTTTCAGGCATAGCATGTATAGCTATACATTTTTTAAAGTTCATTAGAAGTTTCCTTTTGAAAACATAAAATATCTAATATATATATATTATATATATAATTATAATATATATATATATAATGTTAAAATCTTCTTCCATGCAATTGTGCTATCACTATAGGTACAAGATCAATGACACCTAAATAAGTATTCCTGTAAGAACAATTGTGTTTAGAAAGTAAGTCTTCCAAAAGAAGGGAAGCACAATATTTGCTTTCTCTGAAGAGATTCTAGAACTGTCTGGAGGGACAAATCCTATTAATAACAATTATTAGTCACTTTTTTTTTGGTGGTACTGGGGTTTGAAATCAGGGCTCTACCACTTGAGCCATGCCTCCATCCCCTTTTGTTCTGGTTATTTTGGAGATGGGTGTCTTTCTTTTTTCCCAGGCCAGACTGTGAAATCTTCCTATTTTACACTTCTGGCCATTTCTGGGATGACAGGAATGCACCACCACATCCAGTTTTTTTCAGATGAGATGGGGGGTCTCATGAACTTTTTTTACCCAGGCTGGCCTAGAACCATGATCCTCCCAATCTCAGCCTCCCAGGTAGCTAGGATTACATATGTGAGCCACCTAGCATTATCAATCACTTTTGATGAAAACAATGAAGTGAAAATATGTGTGGGTTTTTTAATGAACTAATTAACATTTTGTAGTAGTCACATTATAGAAATGGAGGTGGAAATTATTTTATGGTAATAAACTATCCAAAGTAAAAACTGTACTTTGCCAGGCTGTACCAAGGCTTACTCTAGAATTTCTAAACCGACTATTTTATCAAGAAAGTGCTCCCAAGACAAAAGAGTAATGATAAAATGGAAAGAAACTAAATTCACTATTATTAAAAAAATGAAGGGATAAATAAGTTCTCATTTCATTAGAAATATTTAGCTATGACACCAGAAGTACAACTGATTCATACCTATGATGAGCCACAGCTGTGATGCGATGTCAAAATTTGCAAATGGGTTCTTTTGTATTTCCCCCCAAAAGCCACTGCAGCCATGTTGCAGGTCAGCCTCTGAAGAGATTAGCACTTAGACTAGAGTCATGTTAAACAATGAAAGGTGCTCTCGAATAGCTACGTAACTCAGAGGCACTTACTTGAGTGTTATATGCTGGGATTTACAGTCACCAGATTTGTCTTGCTGCCAACATCTTCACTAACATTTCCTGTGGTCGGAGGCAAGTTACATCTGGAAGTTCGGAAGAGAGAATATTTTCAAAATATGAATTGTTAAAAAACAAGTTTATATACCATCCACACATGATACCCATAATTGTCTTTATATCAGAGAAAATCACTGCATTATGAGATCCTAGGACTCCTATGTGACCAGGACTGAACCCTTAGTTGACATTTCAACATTATATAAAATGTGCATACTTGGTACCTGCTTTCAATAGTCTCATTGATATTTTTAAGTATCAAAGCCAGCAATGAAAATTATACCTTGTCTAGCTTTCAAAGTGTTGCTAATCTTTTTATTAAAATTATTATTTATATTAATTTATATTGATTATATTCTTATAGTAGAATGACCAAGTAATTTACAGACATAAAAAATTGAAGCATTGCAAGTAAAGATACAGCATCTGCCAGAGAAAGAATTACATAGAAACACCAAAATCTTCTGATTTCCATATGGGTAGTTCTGCTACCAAGTTATAGTATTAATAAATAAAACCCTAATGTTTTTATAGTGATGTTTTCATCTTGTTCTCATTTTCCTTTGAGTACTAATTTGTTTTTACATTGGAAAACAAATTAAGAATTCTGTGTATATTACAATCAAAAAAAGAGGAAAGATGGTTATGACTCCCTAAACACAGTTTAAATTTCAAGTAGGACCATCTCTTTAAAGCTAAGCATAAAAAGGAAACACCAAGCGCTTCCCAAGGAAAGTTGTTAAACATGACGTGGTCTGTAATGGGAGTGGAGCTGAAATATTCTATTCCATGCCCTATGAAATATGAATGAAGGAAACATGTACTTCCTTCTTTGATATAAAAGATGCATCAGGAAATAAATATTAATTATAGATATGGGCCACAGAATGACCTTATTAGTGGGCTTTTTGCAACAAATCATAGTCTCACATTCTTTTGAAGAATTAAAAGTGATTTTAATATAGTATCACAGACTCCTGGGGAAACATTGGGGTATATATTTACACATAAATCTCACATATACATATATGTGTATACATATAAGTAACATATTATATAAAGTATATACACAGAGACACAGTCGTACAGTCATAGTAGGGCAGCAGTATAGTTAATGATTATTTTTCTTCCTTACATACTTAATTCCTGTCTCCCAATCTTTTGAAATAAAAATAAATAAGCAATTTCCAAATAGTTTTATAAACATAGGCAAAATAAGTACAGGCTTAAAAAATTAAATATATTTTAATGACACCAACCACATGTAGCCTTATTTTGCCTTTCAGTTTGAATGGCCAGCTTCAAAGAGACCACTATATTCAGAAAAGCACCTTGTATCAGCAAAAGTGGAGGCTAGAAACACAGGTATTTATTTTAGAGTTATAAATCAAATCACTGCTGAGAATTAGTTTTAAGAGTAACCTAAAGTTGTCTTCCCTATTCTTTGTATGAAGTAAAATTAATGTTTAGGCACAATACTTACCAGAGATGTTTGGGGAATTTTAAGTCTATGAAAAATCTAGTGCATGAAGAATTATTTATCTTCATTATGGCATTTTTCACATTAAGAGCTTGCACAAAATGACCAAACCATTCAGATACTAGCCACCTTACCATTCATTACTCATGAAGAGCACATTCAATAATTGTTGGACTGTCAGATCTACTGTGGGCTAATTACCTTCGGCATAAAATCTAAATGAGACCAACATGAGGGAGGAGCTATTTATTGAACATTGGATTATTTTCATTTTTCGAAAGGGAAGCATTAAATCAATGGGAATCAAAGGGTCTCTGATATATAAAATCAATACTCCTGAAAAAGAAAAAGGCAGATTTCTACTTACTGTTGAAAAAGGTACGTTTCAACTGAAATCCATCCTCAGATGGATGAATCACCTTCTGTTATAGTCTCAAAGTAGAGATGTTTTGTAGCATGGCTATTAGAATGAAGTGCACATAGAAGCCATTCTTGTTTCTATTTTCATAAACTAGTTGGTATTGAGATAAAGCTGTTTTAAAGAACCAGAATTACCAAGAATTTTTTTTTTATTTCAAGGCAGAGATTTAGAAAATGATGTTGCAGGTGTGTAACATGCCTAAATCAGCATTTCATCTGGGGAACAAAACTTCCTTGAAATGCTCTGTAACTAAAAAAAAAAAAAGTAAAAATTGAAAAGAAAAAAAGGTCAGGTGAGTCTGGGAAATGTACCTCTGTGGAGTCCTTCCAAGGGTGCCACAGTAAGGACCTGATAAGTCCTATATTTCCCAGCCCTCTTTCACCAAGATTTCATCTAGTTCCCTAAAAGTAGATGACTATGGCACATTTTTATCTTTCTGGTATGAACAGTCTGAGGAACTCAAAAAGGAAAAGAATCCATCTTGGTAATTTGTAGACTCCAGGAACACAACTCAATCATCAAAATTGACCCGGGCACCTTAACATAACCCGTTTAAAAAATCCAACAGATCTTTGGTTTGAAAGTTATCACTCTGACAAGTCTTACCTAAAAACGAAGTCAGATTTATCTATTTCAGCTCCACAGAGAGACTTGTTCAGAATTCCCCCATTTCCAACCACAGCACAATGATTGTAAGGGTACTCGGCAAAAGGCTGGGACTATAGGGAGGGAACAAAAGTCTACATGAGATGCCGCTGGCTTGAGAAACACAGATACCAGCTTAGTGCCAGCAACTTAACCTCCCACCCAGGCTAATGATGAAAAACAAAACAGAACCAAGAAAAACAGGAAAAGCACTAAAAGAAAAAAAAAAAAACCAATAAGAACAACAACAACAACAAAAAAACCAGGACAATGTGCTGATCAACTTCCAACTTACAATAAAAAATCATCACGTAAACCTGCTTCATTTCTCTTGAAATAAATAAACATCATAATAACAACACAATCTAAGACTGCAAACCATATTAGTATACAAAATGTGATATAATGTATCTTATATCACATAATTAAGTAATAAAAGGGGGACGGCAAAATCCCACATTGTGCCTTTCCAACCTATAAAATAGGGATATTTTCAGCCAAAGAGAGAGAGAAGAAAGTAGAATTAAATCTTTTTATTCTAAGGCATAAAATTAATTGTTAATTTAGCAGAAGTTTCCCTGCCTTTAAAATAGTTAGACCTTAGACCTGCAGGCTTAATAAAGGCAGTAGATTAATGTCTGTCATGTCTGCAAATGATCAGCCAGGGTTTTCTGGGGGAGGCTGACCCACACTGCACTGACATATTTCAAGTTAATTTCTGAGGCCTAAATATATTTTATTTCTTTCTAGAACCCACCTTGCTTACCCGAGAAGGTTTCCCACTTTCCCCAAGTCCTCCACAGTCCAAAAGATAACTTTTCAATCCAATGGTGAACACTTCCTTTTCTGATTACTTTCCCAGAGTCACAATGCATCTTTGAGGCTGCAGAAAGGGTGGCTGGTCATAGCCCAAGGTGATGAGTTCCTGATTCACTTATTTTGGTCTCTGATACTAGAATGTAAGTCCTCCATACCAGAGAAGGTGCTTCTTAGTTTTTCATTTCCCTTCATCCTTCACTCCATATCTAGTACCATGCTATACACAGTGAGTTTTCCATAAGTACTCGTTAGCTCAGTGGCCCCTCTGGCACAACCCCAGCAGTGTGCAGAAGACTGAAAGAGCCAACTGGGCAATATGCAGGAATTCTGTGACCTGGTGGTTAAACCATTGGTAACGTGAGATCTGTTAAAGGGCTGATTCCTAAACCACTGAAAATGGGAAAAGTAGCAAAAATTGAGGCACTCACACACCAAAGGCACCATTGGCAAAAAGCCAAAGGGACCGATGTGGTTCTGAGCAGCCCAGACTGCCAGCAGATCCTTGAATCACTGAGAGCCACTTGCTACCTGCTGTGTCTGAGTGATGCCCAAGAACCAAAGAGAACTTACTTCTGTTTTTGTAGAGTTCTCTAAACTTTAACAGTCACATTATTCTGACTGTATGAGACACAATGTTTTCAGTGCATAACTTATAAGCACATTTAATTCACACAACCACCTCATGAGCACTTTACAGACAGGAAAATAGAGGTTATCAATTTAAGCCACACTTACAAATAGGCAAAGCTGGGATATGAACTCAGGCATTGTGCCCTAGAGAACCTGCTTTTAACACAGCACAGCATACAGCTTCCTACTGTCAGTGCTTTAACCTGTGAACTTAATTATGTGCCTTGTTTTTCTTTATATCCACAATGCCTAACCCAGGGCTTGGCTCTAAAATGAATAGTTCCCAGATACCTCAGGCTACACCATATCACTGAAATTCTAGCTCAGGATGTCTTCAGACAGTGTTTGCCCAATAGTACCACAATAAATTATGAATTTTATAAATAGGGTAGAATGCCAAAATGCAAATATGCTCTTTATGGTACAAAAGAAAAGAAGACCGAAGGAAATATATCTCAATTAAGCGCTCAAAACAATGAATGCGTTCTCTGGTTTCTTGGTCAACAGGGAGGAAACATTTCTATGCTTTGGGATCTCATGCTCAGTAGGAGCTGAAATAAATTACAAACCTCAGTGTTCCCTAAAATAAACCTCCCAAGAAAATGTAAATTGGCACACACAGCTCAATGGCTGCTCACAGCTCGCTGTGGCTAGAAATCAACTTTGCTGTTTCTCTATCCAAGTAACTTGGCAAAGGTTTTTGGGGGAAGTTCCTCCACATTGTGTTGTCAAAAGCAGTTGTAGTGGGGGTGTATGTGTGCAGGGGCAGAGTACAACATGGCGGGCAGTGGGATCAAGGTCAGTTCTAATCTGAACCCCACCCACGGGAGGAGAAGGGTGAAACAACCCAAGAACTTGAAATAGCTTTGCGACAGTCACTGTGTTGGCTGTATGATTTCTTCTCTTTATATATATTTTTTTGAGTATTGGGGTTTGAACTCAGGGCCTCATGCTTGCTAGGCAGGTGCTCTACCACTTGGGCCATACTCCGAGCTATTTTGGTTTGGTCATTTTTCAGATAGGGTCTTGTGCTTTTGCCTGAAGCTAGTCACTGTGATCCTCCTGCCTCTACCTCCCATGTAGCTCGGATTACAGAGTTTACCACCACCACCCCCACCTTGTTTTCTGAGATAGGGTTATATTAACTTTTGCCCAGGCTAGTCTCAAACCATGACTTTCCTGTCTCTGTCTCTCAAGTAGCTGAGATTACAGGCATGAACCCCTGTGCCTGGCCCCAGATCAGGGGGTTCGGTATAAACTTGGAAAGTGGATGTAGCTGTTAATGCATAGAGACTTATCAAGCCTATGTCAAGTGTATTCCTTTCAAAGTGCCTAATGAGAGGCAGAATCGCTTCAGCTCCTCAGCGTTGGGTGGCTGAAAGCAAGGTAAACAGCAGCAAACATTGCACAGGTTTGAGATCAGCCCAGGCAAAAAAGTTCTGGAGACCCACCACCTCAACAGAAAAAGCTGGGCATGGTTGTGTGCACCTGTCATCCCAATTACATCAGGAAATGTAAAACAGGAGGATCGTGGTCCAAGCCAATCTGGGCAAAAAATGAGACCTATTTCAAAAATAACCAGAGCAAAAAGGGCTGGAGGTGTGACTCAAGTGATCGAGTACCTGCCTACCAAGCATGAAACCCCGAGTTCAAACCCCAGCATTACCAAAACAAAAAAATGGCCCACTATATGTATTTTATACAACAAAATGGAGTACAGTAGTGTTAGAAATGAATTCAGGATATTGGGGTGTCACAAGATAGATAACACAACTCAGAAGTCAAAAGGCAAGGCAAAATTTACTTCTGCAGAAGGGTGTGCCACAGACAAAGAGTCCAGTTAGCAAGCACACTGGTTGAGAAGTCCTCTCAGGTTTTTATCTGTAACGCAAGTCTGCTGAAACCCTGTTGAATGGGTTTTGGGTTCACTATCTCCATGATTGGCTAATTTGAAATGGGCCACACAGGTTAAGTGCCCTTGGGGCAGGAGAGCAACAGGAACTTGCCCAGCAATGAAGAATAGCTCTTTGTTTAAAACAAAGGAATTTACGGGATTAAGTGACACCTCACAAAGCCACATAGGCAACAATTCAGGGAAGTTAAGCTGACATCTGTACAATGATAATATACTACACATTAATCCCTTTGACAGAAAAGACCTGACAGTAGTATTGCAATTATTCATTCGTTACTGTAAGTAATAAGTGAGGGAAAATTCACCCACATTCAATCTCTACTCACCACGGGCAACATATGGAATATGTTCTCTCTAATTGGAATTCGCCTTTTACTTTCCACCTCGTAACTCATGTTAGTTCCAACTGGAGTGTTGTTTGAGAAACCAACGAAGTTTTGAACAGCATCACAACAGGAAGCAAGTTTTGCTCTGTAATGGATAAGAATAAAAGTGAGCCAAGAAATAAGATGAAGAAACCAAAACAGAGATTACAATAGATGAGGCAAAAGAGGATTTTGCTTGACTTTCACAAGGTGACATTTTTATCTCATTCAGTTCTCACCTGTTCTGGATGGTAGGATGGTGCTGTAGCAGAGTAAAATGGCAAAGCATGTTAAATAGACATGGATCTATTTAACCCTACCAAGGGAAAACACTCATGAGTATAACAGTTGTAAATATAAAACCTCCCTGCAATGATATTGTTGTTAACAGTCAGAAGATGAGAGTTTACACATTTTTTTGTTACTAGGTATTGAACCCAGGGCCTGTGCATGCTACACAAACACTTAATCCCCGAGCTACAGTCCCAGCTCCTAAGTGAGAGTTGGCATTACAGTATTTCCTCTTACACACAGTTCACTGCATAGTTTCAGTTTGCCGCAAGTCAACTATGACCAAGGAATATTAATATCTGTCTGGACCCTTTTAAGAGAAAAAGATCATATTCATATAACTTTTATTACAGTATCTTGTTCTAATTATTCTATTTTATTGTTAGCTATTATTTTAATCTCCTACTGTGTCTAACTTATATATTAAACTTTATCATTGTATGTACAGAAAAAAACAGTATATACAGGGTTCAGAACTTCATGTGGTTCCAAGCATCCCCTTAGAGATTCTGAAACATTATCTCCAAAGGATAAGGGTAGAATACTGTATAATTACTTTATAATAATTATACAATACAAAAATGAAGTTAAGAATAGTATTATAGACACCAAAGAAATATATAATTTGACATGTTCACTGACAAAAGAATCATTACATGTAGTGATTATTAAGTAAACTTTAAAGTTGGTATTTCAAATTATTATTGTAGGATGAATTGTTATTATCATTTTATGCAGGTCTATTTTACGAATTTAGGGGGTCATTCGAATTAGCTCTTAACTTCTAGCAGGTAAATGTCTAAATACAGAGAATTTATGCTATGTTTATGTAATTTTCCAGGGACATAGATGCCAAAATGTCTCTTCATAATTATTCTAGTGTTCAACCAGCCTCAAATTTGGAGATTCTTGCATTTGCACAACTAAACTATCTCCTAACTTAATCCATTTCCTTTGATAGTTTTCATAGAATGTCCTTATGAAGATACTTCATGTAACTGAAAATAGTAATCAACTCTTGGGTAACCATTCAACCTTGTTAAGAGTTTAAAGAATTTCATCTACCCTCAGATTTTCCTAATGGTATCAGTTTTTCATTATTTTCATCATCTTTCAATCCTGTCTTATTTTTCCATATTACTTTACAAATATGTGTGTAAGCCAGACCCAACCTTCGTGCAGAAGACAGGGAATAGTCAGTGAGAGGCGATCATGGCTAGATTCTTTATAAGTGGTGCTTCCCCACTCCATATTTTTATTATTAGTTCTTGGTTCTGAGGGCATGCTTTTATACATGTACCTCCTGAATTTTGTCCTTTCAAAGAAATACAATGCTCTAATTTGTCACACTCTTTTAAATTCAGTTTTTCTGAATTCAATAATTTTCAGGGTATGAAAAGTCAAGGTGATATTATTCTACCTCAAAGTCAAGGCTTTCAACAATGCTTCTTATTCAGTAACTTATTTCATAAAATGGTATATTCTGAATTGAATTCTGTCACTTGTTTATTGCTTTTTTTTTTGTATTTTAGACTCTACCATTTCTAAAAAGATGGTTCATGGAGATTAACAAAAGAAAACAATGTATGTGAAATGATGTGCAGTCAAAAATATGGTAATAAGTAAGTTTTTAATTACAACTTAATTTTGATAACAATTCATGTGATACACTGAAAACTCAGAAATTCTTATGTGTTTATCATTTTCGATGTCTCTTTTATTCAGCATTCTGAGAAAAGGCAGGTATAAATTCTCATTTTAGCTTTGACAAGTAGCTTAATATCTGTAAGGATATTCAATGCTTGCAAGAATATCACATCACAAAAACACTAAGCAAGAGTTGCCTTTGTACTTTTTTATATTAATAGATTTTTCTGAAGTTCTTATGTTTGAAATGTATTACCATAAAATTTTCAAACTTGCCACAAATTTGGACAACGGGTACTTGAACAACCATTAGATAGATTCTGCAACTAATTAATTTTTATTAGCTATGTATCATTGTGGCATCTATCCAACAGTCACATCGCTGAAATGTGGTAGTTGGTGTAATTTAAAGTAAATCAAAGTTCCATTATGTTTAGCCCTCAAATGGTGTCCATCTTCCCAACCACTCTTGTGGTTATTTTTACCTTACAGGATGGTTCCGCTGTTACAGAATAGAAACGAATCATAATGGTGTGTGTGATTTTATGTAAGACTTCTTTCATCAGCAGCTCATACATGTTACTGTGTGGAGGCAGTCTGTTCCTTTCTATGTGTAGTTGGTATTACATGTACGGATATACCATGTTTGCTTTACCCATTGCTTACACTTTTAAGAAATGCACTATTAAAATTCCCATGCATAATATCCCCTAGGGAAAAATATTAGTGATAACAATTAAAATTGCCATTTCTGAAGCCTAACTTTAGTCACAGGACTGATAGGACTTGTAAATACTTTGTAATCCAATGGAAATATGATCAAGGTTCATGCTCTTGTTACCTGCCAACTCATGCCAGTGCCTGGAGTGATAGCTGGAATAATGTAAAACTGAATTGCTTTAATGGACTAAAAAAGACTGGTTTTATCTGTTATTTCATTCCTATCAACCCTAAAACAGAGTCAAATTTGATCTTGGTGACACCAAAGTCAAACCAGCTATGTTAATAACATGCATGGCAATTCTTCCCTTCTTGTGCATAAAAAGAGGAAG